GATAACAAATCAAGCTGGACATAATTTAAACAGCATCCGCTGTTTTGTAAAACTGTAACATTCCTCCAGGTTGCTGCTCTTATGAGGGAATGTGCAAAAAAAAAACATGTGTTAAAGGTTAGAAGGGATAGTGATTCTAGCTTGTTATATAAATTTGAAATGGATTGAGACATTTATTCTTTGTTCCAAATAAACACTAATTTCAATTCTGACACCTGCAACACGTTCCAAACAAAGTTGGGTCAGCTGCATTTCAGGGCCAGTAATGAGATAAAACAATGAAATGATGATTCCATTTGAAACAGGTGATGTCAACAGATGACTGCATCATGATGTGGTACAAAAGTGGCATCCAGGAAAGGCCGAGCCCTTTAGGAGCAAAGACGGCCTGAGGACCATCAGTTTGCCAACATATGTGTGAGAAAATTATTAAAATGTTTAAAAACAATGTTCCTCAAAGAAAGATAGGAAGGATTTGGATATGTCACCCTCTATGGTGCAGAACATGATCAAGAGATTCATGAAAACTGGAGGGATTTCAGTGTATAAAGGGTCAACCTAAGCTGGATGACCATGGTCTCTGATCCCTCAGATGTCACTGCATCAAGAATCATCACTCTTCTATAAGCGATATAACCACACAGGGTCAGGATGACTTTGACACACCTGTGTCAGACACTACAATACGTAGTTACATCCATAGATGCTGCTTAAAACTGTACTGTGCCAAAAAGAAGCCCTATGTCAACAGTGTCCAGAAGTCAACTGCTCTGGGTTCAGAGGCTTCTGGGATGGACTATCACACAGGGGAAACGTGTACTGTGGTCAGACCAATCAGTATTTCAGGTCTTTATTGGAAGGAATGCAAGTTGTGCGCACATTACCAAGGTCTGGCTGTGGAAGAAAAGGGTGTGAGTGCTGGACTGACCTCTCTGCAGTCCTCACCTGTACCCAGTAGACAATGTGTGGCACATTTTGAAACACAAATTGCTTCAACACAGACCCAGGACTTGTTTGCAGGAAGAATGGGACAAAATGACAACTGACACATTTAATCACTCTGTGTCCTCAATCCCTAAACGTCTTAAGTGTTGTGAAAAGGAACAGCGACATCACACTGTGGTAAATGCTTTACCGTCCCAACTTTTTTTGGAATGTGTTGCAGGCATCGGAACTGAAATCTGTTTATTTTAAACACAGAATAAAATTGATAAGATGTCACATCAAATAATGTGCTGCTGTATTGTTTTCAGGACACAGATGATTTACACATCACTGTTTTCAGTTTTAATTTTGATTTTATATACCGTCCCTACTTTTTCTGATTTAGGGTTGTAGATAAAAATGTCTTTCACAGATAGGAGCAAATGAAGGCCAAGTGTAAAATCAGCTTTTTTTCTTTCCTCCTTAATTTTTTTTGTTAGTTTTTTGTTTTTTATTGCAGCAAAACATTGAACATGCACACAGAACACTTACAGAAGAATATAGGGAAATTTTACATGTGGTTTGTGTGTGAAAGTGTGTTGTGTGGGTACGTTCAACTCTATACAAAGTCTTGTAATAAATAAAAAACAAGGGAGTGGGAGTAAAGAAAGAAAGAAAAATAAAATAAAAACAAAGAAAGAAAGGGGGGGAAATCAATCAACCCCGAACCACCAGCACAAGATGAGAAAAGGCTACCATTAGGAAGCCCCAGAGCAGCCCAGCAGGGTAGGGTCGGCCAGGGCAGCAATATTGTTGTTTTATGGTTACAAAGTTAGACCGTTCCTCTGTTTGATTGTCTGTCATGATTAAATTAGATTGTTGAAAGTAGTTGAAAATAGTTATGCAGCTCTGGGTCGCTCAGGGAAATCAACTTAATGACAGTGAGAGTGTCCGACTTGAGCCCTCTCCGGCTCTGAATGTGCTTATTCATTTTTTTTTCTCCTGTCAATCGTGCAGCTGGGTCTCTGTTCCCCATGGGCTCTATTTACTGGCCTTGTTTTGATATCTTCACATGAAAGATCACTCTATCTTTAAAGGCCTGGGAGTGGCATTCCCCTGCTCCGAGTTTCCCGTGTCAGTCATCATTTTCATCAGGAGGGCTCACAAGCAATATTAAGACATCATTTGCTCCTGCACATTTGCTATAACCACTGTGTCTAGGATGCTTCATCACTGGTGTTTTGTTATTACTGGAAAGAATTTCTTTGGACAGGGTTTTCAACAAGTGTTCACCAAAACCTGACAGCTGGAGTTACTGGTTAACTCCTCAAATTCAGATTCCATATCAAACATAAAATAAATGTACGGCAATAAATGTTTCAGGAACAGGTCAAAAACATTTCAGTTCAAAGACACAGTGTAGTCTGTCTTCTTTCTTTGTTTGTTCCTTATTTTTCTTTGTATTCTCTCTGTTTTATTAGCTTTCTTTTTTCTTTATTTCTTTCCATTCCTTATTTACATTCTTTTCTTCAACTATGGCCTGAAAATAACCAAAAATGTCACCTTCTTCAAAGGTAATATCACCGTAAATGCTTTAGATAATTAAGATGTTACTTGACTTAAACATATGGATGGATTACTGTCCAGGTTTACCAGGCACAGGCTCAGGGGACCAGAAGCTAAGGGGACTTACTAACATTTTATAATTTCTCTTCCGAAGTCACATTACAATGAATTAAGCAATTTAAACATGGTTAGCAGTATAATAAAATACATTGTCTATCAAAGTATTACTTTGATGGCTACCTATAATAGTTATACAATCCTATAGTACTGTGTATTTCAGAGTTATAGTGGTAGATTTTAGGTTTATGTGAGCCTCAGGCTTTATTTTGTGCGTAAACTGAAAGCCATGCCTGAAAGCATCCAGGTTTCCAGACAACAAACTGAAAGACTATTGAGAGTGAGCTGTGAGTCCAAATCATCGCTGACACCAGTTCAGCTCCAAGCTCAGTCTGCTGTTTATAGTTTGACCCACATACTGTATGTTTGATGATCTTAGCATAATGCAGTGATGTTAGCACTCTGAGCGCCTGCATTATCCTGCTCAATGCTGATAGCCGACTGCTGCTGCTGACTGATAGGCCGTCCACATGAGGGGCAGCAGTGAGTGATAAAGAGCTTGACAGAGTTTTAATTAATGGTGTCTGTCCAAGGGCACAGTGATCATGTCAGTGAGTTGTGGCCCCACAGTTGATTGATCACATTCTGCTCCGACACAGTCACGTGACACACATTGATCTGTCTCTGTGGCCTGTGCCAAGACTCCAGATACGATATATCTATCCATTCATTATCCATCCATTTTTTTGCCAGTGTTATCATTCAGCCATCCATGCACCTGTCTACCTACCTATTAATTTACCCATTCCACTATCTGTGATCCCTCCCTTGTTTTTCATCATCCATACATGCATCCATTCTTTGACCCATCTTACAGTACCTTTCATCCATCCATCTACTCATTCTACTATTCATCCATCAATAAATACACATTGTCTGACCTTAATGCTACCATCCATTTTATCCATTCTATCCATCCATCGGTTCACCAGTCATTCCACCCAGTCACCCATTTGTCCATCATTCATTCACAAATCCATTCATCCATAATCTATCCTTTCACCCATCCTGCCATTCATTCATTTACCCATTCATCCAACCATGCCTTTATTTTCTCCCATTCATCCATGCATTTATTCATCCACCCATCTACCTGTTGTCCCATTAGCTATAGCAGTTTTACCAAGGTGAAGTTCTCATTTTATATATTTTGTTCTTTGATTATTTCTTCTCTTTTTAAACTTAAGCATTCACTATTCAGTTTAGGCATCAAATGATGAATTCTCAACTGTATAACATAACTGGAATTTTCTGAAAACAGCTCATTCTTTTTCATTACCTTAATGTTAATATGTAGGTTTTGTTAATTTCCAGTTTATTCAACTTAAATGTCAATATTTTTCTCTGGCTCTCCTAATATTTATTTGCTGTTTTGTCTTTTGGTGATTATTTTCAACTGTTTCAATAATGAACAACCTTTTGTGTGTCTGATATTTTAAACAGACTTCCCACAAAGACAACTTGACCACATTGTCAGCAGGAGTTCAATCTCAATAAAAACACTTGAATTCGTAGCAGCATCAAGCACAGCTGGCCTAAATGTTAGACAAAATGCAATAAACTGACCATAGTAGTGCATGATCTGCTTAGTGCAGCCTTAGACAGTCACGCAAGGAAACAGTCGGCACCGCTGCAGCCACGAGCAACACTTTGTTTCACACCAGGACAGTGGTTGCATTTCACTTTTCTAGAGCCTAAACCGACCAGTTCTTCATGCAGCAGAGGAGACAGTGACTATCGATCACATCTAATCTAACAGTGAATCTTACAGCAGTCTAGGGTTCTCTTTAAAAAAAAAAAAAGCTGTAGATTAGTTAACATAAGAATGACCTACCTGTTGATAATATTTTAGGTACCGGTACATCCTGTCACACCAGTGTCTTCAGCTGAATGGTAACACTGCAACTTCATGTGTGTTGGTCCTCTACCACCATCTAGTGTATAAATTAATAGAACACACTAAAGTAACTAAGTTGCATTGACTCAGTCATTTCTGGTTGACATTCTTGTCTGTATATAATCAAAAGCTGTCTGTGATAATCAGGAGGAAGTGAAGAGAAAGACATTTGCAGTATGCCGCGTGTCATTAAAATGTGAACAGTAAAGGCAGGCTACTGGGAGGGTCAGTGGTCACATTATCTGCCCACATGATTCATGTTTTGGTATACCAATGAGGAATCCTGGGAAATGCATGGACAGTAACCTGTGGTATATACCTTCATACATTTTTACAAACAAATTTAGCTGCTGTTCCTCATGAAAAATCAACAAACTGTGCAGCATTTTGTGCAGCACCTGCTGAAATCACATAAAATATATGACCACATAATGAAAAAAAAAATCACTCCCAACCCAGTGCTTTTAAACAAGGTCATAGTCGTGATGAAGTGTTAATTATCTTAGGCTGTCTGCTTTCTTTAATTTCCTAATTTCCTTCCTCCTGTCCTTCCTTTTGTTTAATGACACAGGAAATTACCCACATGTAAGTAATGTGCGTGATTCTAGTGAGAACAACCAAGTGAAAAAACAAGAGTGCTTTAAGAGAGAGCAGTAAAGTCAGCAGTGACTGATGAGGACAGCAGAGAACAAACTTTATAGACACCAGGTGACATGCTAAACAATCACAATGTCTCCACACACTTTAGACAATGTACTGCATGTAAATTCACCCACAAACAATCTTCAGACCATTAATAATAATAATCACACGCTGAACTTGTTCACATTATACTGCCACACAATAGTCCTGTTGATTGTTTGGCAATGCAGTACAACTAGAGATATCAAAGAGATAGACACCTCAGTTTAAACAGGATTATCAAATCTTTGATGGGTGACAAATTCCTGCTATCTCACAGCTTTTAATGTCACATTGCCCAACTCTAATTCCACTGTGTGGAAACAAAAACAATCTACTATATCAGTGCTAGGTGCAAGAAGTGGTTGAGCAGCATTTTAGATTTTCAGTGTAGCTTTTTCAAACTGTTCTTCTCCGGGCTCCTCTGGCATGTGACCCTTCTGATGTTTCTTCAAGTCAGCACTGTGTATGAATCCTTTCTTGCAGATAACACAGTGATACGGCCTTTCTCCTGTGTGGATCAGTCTGTGCATCCTGAGGCTGCTGGACTGAGTGAACCTCCTGCTGCAGACGTTGCAGCCGTACATTTTCTCCCCCGAGTGAACTGTCATGTGTATTTTCAGATTGCTGGGACTGCTGAACTTTTTATCGCACTGACTGCAGGCATAAGGCTTCTCCCCTGTGTGGATGCTCATGTGATATTTAAGATTTACCATGCAGCGAAATTTTTTGCCACAGATGTCGCAGACTGGCTGCTGCCCCGGTTTCTTTCCAGTGTGTATCCTCATGTGGTTCTGGAGCGCGCTGGCGTGGCCACAGCGTTTGCCGCAGGTCTCGCAGACATACGGCCTCTCTCCTGTGTGGGTCAACATGTGGTGCTTCAGAGCACTCTGGTGACTGCAGCCCCTGCCGCAAACCTTGCAGGTGAAAAGTTTTTCTCCAGTGTGTTTGCTCAGGTGATTTTTGAGGACGCTCATGTTGCTGGATCCGAGGCCGAGCAGGTCGCAGCAGGCTTCCTTTTGCATGTGAGTCACCCGATGAGTGGCCAAAGACGAGAATGAGAAGAAACTCTCGCCACACATTTCGCAGACAAAATCTCTATCCCCTGAATGTAGGTTCTCATGATTGGCCAAACTCTGTCTGCACTCAAAAGTCTCTGGACAAAGAGAGCACACAAATGTCTTTTTCAGGGCAGGACACCTGTGTCGCTGAAGTGCCAACGCCCCAGGAAACTGGTTCTCACACAGTGTGCATGTGTGGGTGTTTGGTTTCTTCAGGCTGTGCTGCCGCATGTGTCTCTCAAATGTAAACTTGTAAGCAAATTTTGTCCCACAGTCTGGGCATCTGTAAGGCTTGTCTCCAGTGTGACGTCTTGCATGCGCAGTGAGCCCCCGGAGTCCGGCAAAACGTTTGCCGCACTCAGAGCAAAGGTGAGGTTTGGAGTGAGTCAGGTAGTGCCTGTCCACCAAGCACTTCAGAGCAAACATTTTGTCACAAGAAGGACATTTGAATGACCCTTTGGTTTTCGTCTTTTTGATCTCGGAGGTGGTAGTTGAAGTGTCTGTACCCTCCTGGATGGCATCCTCCTCATTCACTTCGGAGGCTGGCTCAGGTGCCGGCTCAGGGGTCGGTTCTGTGGTGGGCTCTGTTAACAAAGCTGCAGGTTTAGACTGGAATATAGAGCTTTTCTTGTTATGTGTGGCTACATCAGCTGAAACAAAACGAAAGCTTTGTTAGCGGAATTAAAGTGGGAAGTACACAGCTACACACAGATGAACAGTCACTTGCACTAAATTAAAATATATGGATGTAGGACAAATTAACTTTGTATCCTAGTTGAATAAAAATATCTAACTAAACTAAATACTGCCACGCTCTCACACAAAGAGGAAGTATATTTGCGCTGGTTTGTAAAAAAAAAAAAAAAAGTTACCAGGCTCAGTCACTGATTCTGAGTCAGCTGCTGATGCTGGTGGTTCTTCATTCTGTTGCTCCTCTGAAAACACAAAACATGACATTAGAATCAGTAGAGCTAACATTAGGATATAATGCTTAAAACATGTTCTGATCATGTCATCATATTGCATTTAGGTGTTTCTCCTGACAGAGAGGAGGCCCATTATTTTACCAAACTACCTCAGCGCTTCCTTATTTTCAAAATAAGTCGTACCAAAAACTGATACTACGCAGTGGCAACAAGAACTGAACTTTTTGTTTGAGATATCATTTGGATTTCAATAAAGAAATCATACCACACAGAAGCTGGCTAAATACCTCTGTAATATATATGGTCATTCTCCTTTCTCCTTTCTGGTTTCAGTCCTCCCTCAATTCTTTTTGCCTTCTGACGTGAGCTTCTGGCTCCTGAGTCTGGATTTTAACAGGAGGAACATAAAACTGTTTAAAATGCCAAAAATGCAAGTATGTGACCATATAAAACCTCTCCACAGCCACACAAGCCATGAGCTGACTTACTCTTCTTGGACCCGACCTCTTGCCCTGCTTTTGGCATCATGTTTGTCTGCTTAGTCTTGTCGCTGAACATGGATTTCTCCTCTGCAGCAGCACCATCTTCAGCTTCACACATGGACACTTTCAATATCATTAATATTTTCTGCACTGCACATTTGGTCCATGATTCCATGAGGGATGCAAACTGGTTCTGTATAGTCGTGGGTAATATAATGAAGAGCAATGAGAATGAGAACAATTAGTCAATTAACTGATTTGTTGAGCAACATAATAATAATATAATAAATCATGTTTAAGGAACTAATCAACAACAGGTCTTGTGTTGAAAGTACCCCTAAAAATAAATGTTAGCATAAAGCCCTGTATGGCTAAAGTAGGTTTTATTATCTCTGATAGCTGAAGTATTCATGCACAAGGTGACAGGCATAATGCATTGAGCAGAAGATACATCGATTCCACAGACTGTGCATGCGTTCAAAGTTGTTTATACTCTTGAATCCCGATGGGCGTGCCTTGACAGATATGAAATGATACTTTCGATTAGATGTAATAGATATTGGCTAGTTATATTTAAATAGCATTTGTGTTATTGATGATTAGTGATTATTATGACCTCGTTTTGGATCGGCGATGGAAATGGGAAGCTCTCCAAACAGCTAGCTAGCTAACGGCTCGTTAACATTTACTGCACCTGCTGCCGGATATCAAGGCATAATGTTACAGCAGGTTTCACTGTACCAGAGTTCATATATGATGAATCCCTGGACGTTCGCGTGGACAGGTGACGACGGGAGCAGGGGGCGCTGACCAAAACTACGGCCGAGCTGCAGAAGCTACGGTCATGACGGACAGTTTAGGAACTTTCTGCTAACTACAGGGTGGGAGCCAGGGGGTTAGCGCCACCACACGATGTCTGAACTCCCCCAGTAGCAACAACACACGTTTTAAGGTTTATTTGCGCGTTTGAGGCTCAATTTACTTTGAACGGAGACTACATTCATGCCCTGAAGAAGCATCCAATGCGATATCACTAACACCAAGACCGCTACAGAGGATCATACTACTTCACTCCCTAACGTGAGCTTTTTAACTTTACCTCCTATCAATAAAGAATAAACAGCTAAATGTTATGATTGTTAATAGTATTCTTACGTTTTGTAAATTTTATTTAAACTAATAGGCCTATTTGTTATTTGGCCAATTAGGGGCAGCACAACCAGGAACTACAGTAGGAGGAATAAACAATACCAGCACTTTTTTCTCCCCACTTCCACCACTGTGTGTAGCCTGTATTGCATTACCGTTACATCTTTATTAAACCGCTGTCTGTCTTCCGGTGGAGACGCTTGGTCAGCTTCCTCTTCGTTATTCACTGTTTGAGCTGGAGCAGAGTAGTGCTGAGCGACCATAACATGAGCCGAACAGCCGCCCAGAAGTCTGCCAATCTCCGTCACTGCCGCTTCTACCACAGTCTCCATTACAGCAGATATCTGGCTCTCCAAAGTTTCCAGGGTGGACATGTTTGAGTCACTTGAATGAAAATCTGCATTCATGCACCGACCAAGTTTCGAGCTGTCATCTGTTGTCCTCCTTTCGTCTTCTTCGTGTGATTTACACCAAAGTAGTATAGATTGCAAGACCTTCTTCTTCTTCGTTGTTTTTCTTCTTCCTCTTCTATTTTTGGCGGTTAGCAATCAACGTCAGCTACATTACTGCCGCCTTCTGAATAGGTGGTGTGGGTCAAGATAATCTATCTACCATACTATCTGTCCATCCATTGGAATTGCATTTTAGAGTTCCCAGTCAGTCTAAGCTGCGGGTCTTTGGGCTGCGGGAATAAGCTGGAGTACCCGGAGGCACAGGGAGAACATGCTAGCTCCACATAGAAAGGCACAGGGTTGGCTGGGGCTCAAACCCAGAACCTTCTTCCTGTAAGGCAACAACACTAACCACTGCTCTACTATGCCACCCTACCAGACTATCATATTTGATTTATGAAGCCAGTATTCCTCAAAAAAGAAAAAAAAAATACCCCTAAAACATTGTCCTCTTCATTTCCTTTGTATTATATAATTTATGTCAAACCTTATTTTATTGTCTTCAAGGTGCATTTTTAATCTCTCTTGGTGGTATGTTGGATAGTCCTTAAATACATGTTCTATTATTTCTTGCCTAGCACAATAATCACATCTTCAAGAATTATGTTTTGTCATTAAAACTATTCAATTTAGTATGGCCATATCTTAATCTTAATTATGTTTTGGCGGTTGCACCCTCAAATTTTAATTCAATAAGTAAATAAATAAAATTAGTGTAGGAATGGCCTACTTTTTATATCGTATCCAATCTGGTTTGTTAAATATGCACTTTGTCCACTTAAGGACATTTTTTCATGTTCATGTGCAACTCATGGGGTACAGTGTTTGGTACAAGAATAATAAAGAGACAAGAAGTACTGTAATACAGCTATTATTAATAAGATGTTGTAGTGCCTGACTGCGACCACTAGAGGGGAGCAGATAGCCTACATATGATGCTAAACAAACTCACCGTTCTATACCTTTTGGATAGAATAAAAATAAATAAATAAAACTTAGACATGAAAAGAGCAATGCAGTTAAATACATCATTGTATTTTGTTAATCTCTGTTTCAGAAAACAATTTGGCTTCTGCCACCATTGTAGGTATAAGGTAAGATACACAGGCACACTGTCTCTCGGGGGGAGTCTTGCCCAGTGTCTTGCCCAAGGACACTTCGGCACGTGGACTGCAGGCACCGAGACTCGAACCTTCAACCTTCTGGTTGAACCGTTTCAGTAATGATCTCCTCTTATGCCAGTACACACAAGATGACTCAGCTCTCTTGCATGTTATATACAGTAGTTCACTGTTTTCCTGTACAAATTATTTGCTCACCATTTGTGTCAAAAAGTTGTGTGTTGACTAGACTCCT